ATCATAATTTATATTATTTTATTATTCTGATTTAAATATATTAAATTATAAAATTATTCACTCATTTAAATACATATATACAATAAAAAAAAGCATAACTGTGAGACAAACTTTTTTTATTAAATTTGAAGAAAGGATCTCGTACAAACTTTATAGAAATTAATAGTAAGAGGTATAAAAAGAGCTAAGAGCCACCGCTAGTTCTTAATTGCTAATGTTTAATGTCTCTCGTAAATATTTAATAAACGTCACAATGTTTAACTATTCCATCACTTCTTATTTCATATTTTGTCACTTGCTATGTCACCAGTATTTGAATATGTAAAATCAATTCTTTCAATTGACGAATTTGTAACACCGTTGCATTATCATTGCGATATGCGAATCAATTATAATGGACATACGAACACAAACAAGAAGCAGATCAGGCATTTAAATATCTTTTATATATATTATCTTTTAATAAGTTACACTGAATTTTTTAAATAAATAGGTCGATTTACTAAACATTAAGGCGAGAATAAGATCACAAGGATAGCGAGTAAAAAATTACTGAGCAATCAATATACAAGAACAAAACTTGAAAATTATTGTCATCATACGCTCAGAAGAAGTGAATTTTTAATTAAAGCATTTTAATTGATATATTATGTAAGATAGATGTTTAGATTTAGTATATAAGGTAGAAATTATTTGTATATTATTAACATTGAAAAGATCTTAATGTAAGGATGAAACGTTTATTAAATGTTATAATTTAAAACATTAAATATTAGCAATTAAGAAATAGCGGTGACTCTTAGCTTTTTTTACTTTTTACTATATTGTTTTTATTCAATTGAGCCTAATAATTTAACCTTTATTATTTTAAATTAACTTTCTGGTCAAATTCGTGCCTAATATATGTATAGTTCTCGTCATTCTGAACAAATGCTCCATGGGAACAACCTCTTGCTGACTAAGCTTTTGCACCTTTTGAAAAGTTCATTCTTAAAAAAAACTGTTCCTCTTATTTTGATTAATTACTTACAAGCGCATATATTTCTTTAAGAATTACTCTCAGCTGATAGGATTTGTACGCCTTCAATTTCTTGTTTTATTAGCCTCATAGATTACTGGATCACTGATGGGTCTTCGAAATTGAATAATTCATGTAATAAAAATGCAACCGGCCTCAAACCGGGTAGACAAAAGGTTTGTTCGTGTCGCATGCTCTAATATGTTGTAATATGCTTCTACCATAGCTCTTACTCATTCCAACGCACTTAATAAAGTGAGTAGGAGCTGTGGTAGGAGTATGTTGAGCTTGCGACGCGACAAATCTAAAAAGATCCAATCAAAATCAAAATAGCAAATCGCCTCTTTAAATACTGGAGTCCGTATTCAGAACGATTTTATCTTTAAATTCTAAAGTATGTGTAGTGTAAATTATAGCATGTTAGCACGCTACATCATTGTAAGCGTGTTCTGAATACGGGTGGACGCCTGCAATGTGTGACCACGACGCTTCTGTGTCGCATGGATACACATCCAAACGAAGGAACTATGAAGTATGAATTGAGAAATGTAAATGCACAGTCGAAGCCGATCACGCTTTTCAAGAATATAACTGAGGTGATGCAATACCCGAAACGAGACGAAACGGGACACAAATACAGCCCTCAAGATTGGTCTCACGAGATTTTCAACTTTTCCTTGACATTCACGATTATTGATTCTTTTGTCTAGTTCAGAGTCCCTAGAAAAACAGAGTCTGGACTGCATTCAAATTCTCCATCTGAGTGCACTCAGAAAGCGTTTAGATTCCTTTCAAGTGTCTTTATTGGGCGCTTAGGTAGAGCGTTTAGATTCCTACTCTATCTTCCCGGGAGGATAGAAAAATCACTCGGTTCCTTAGGTAGAATGAGTGATAGCGATTGTTTTCCAACACAGGTGACACCGAAGTTTTTTTCGCGTCGTATGCTCCAACATGTTTCTGCCACTCTAGTTCTTACTCACTCTAATGAGAGTATTGGAGTGAGTAGGAGCTATAATAGGAGCATGTTGGAGCATGCGACGCGAACAAACCTAGTGGCCTAAAGGCCAATCAGAATCCTTCCTTTCCTTCCAGTTAATGGAAAAGAAGAGCTTTGATTGGTTGATTCTCTTATGCCCTATGTGTTATGCATTATGTATGAGTCTGTGCTGCGGCCTTAAAGCGGGGAACATAGATTCTTGTATAATATAACGCCGATTCTATATTAGTTGCAAACCGATCGCAAGTTTGTTGCCAATATGAAGCGTTGATTTTAAAAGGCAAGCTTTAGATTGGCTGTCGCAACAAATTTGCGATTGGCTTAACATGCTATAATTTATATTACGCATACTATAAAATTTTGGAGATAAAAGCGCGCTTTTATTGATAAACGGGCCATAATCCATAATGATATATCCACACAAACTTGCATAGTCGCATAAACATATAGAAAATATGCATAAAGAAAATTTCCAATCGCATTTCTCTTACAAAGTTGCATATAATGTGATTGGATAATTTTCTTTATGCAAGTTGGTGGATAAAAAGTGTAAAAAGTGTAAGTAAGTAGAACAGACTATGGATTTCTCTCTGCTCTAGCCAATCAACGCTTCGCTTTCACGATGGATCTGCGCGGGATGAGTTCCATGAACGAAGCGTCATGATTCGCGGCATCACAGCGTCGCATGTTGCATGTTTGGTTATAAATCCCGCCATCTCCGCGCTTATAGTCGCATGAACTTACGGTCGATCTTCGTTACTCCATCGGTTGAATTCGCGAAATAAAAGTCGGTCTGCGTACCGGCGCGTAAATTGGCGCAAATCACAAGGAACCGAAACGGAAGATGTGATAACGTCAAGAGTATCTACGCGTTTTCTGAATGTTTTGTTCCCTCGCTCGTTTACGACGCAAGCGTTGATTATAATTTCGTGTTAAAAGAAGAATTCCAGCTACGTGAGTAAAAATCCAAACGCCAAATCATGGCAAACGTGTCTCTCGACAAAGATATGTTTTTTCGGCGCATGAAGCGCCTGTATGCCGCGTGGAAGGTAAGCGTGAAGGAAATTACATGCTTCTTGATGCCGGTGAGCAAAAACTGTTGCGTATTATTATACAATCTTTTGTTTTTTATAGGATGGAGAGGTCGGCACCGATGATAGTTTTAGTAAAATGGATTGTCTTGTTTCTGCCGTTGGCACTGATGAAGATATTGTTTACAGCAAATCCATAGCATTGCAGGTATGTTTTAGAATTAGAAAATTTTCTTGAGGACTCCGCTTGTGTTACAAGTATCATACCAAAAGATGGGATATGTATCAATTTTTCTTCAGTTCTATATACGAAATAGAAATTGCTTTGAGTTCTTCGATAAAGAAAGAAAGAAATAGCAAGTGACATTAGAACAGTTTGGCCAATGAGATATTGGAGTAATTTCATTATGCTATCAAAGAGATAGCATAGTGAACAAAAGATTTGCTAAAAAAATAATACATATTAGATAAGCTGAAAAATTTTATTTTTATAGTACCTTTTGTACTCTTATTATATAACTTAGATATAACCTTAGATTATTTATTTTTAAAAAATTATATAAAATATATTGTATTTTTGAGAATTAACTTTCTATGTATTACATTTATTTTGTTTCATTATATTGTGTTTATTAAAGATACATATCAATGAAAATTAATTTATTGTGTAAATGCTTAATATAAGATAACATTTTTTTTTATTAAGAACTAAATTGAAAGTTTCTATGTATAGATACTTTGTTTTAGACATGGCTGTTCAGTTACGAACTCACGGATACTATAATGATATTGACTGAAGAATCTATCAATTTCTTGGCCAGTAAAAAGAAGATTGAATTTTTAAGAAAAGTAGAAAATCAAAATGAAGATACAGGAGTACCACCTGTGAAATTGTTTGTTAGAGACAGAGTATGTATATTGCATAATTAGTATAAGAATAATTTTATTATTAAATATGTATAGAATTGTTGAGCAATATTTGAATATCTTTTTATAGAGCGATGAAGATAAAGCAAATTTTGCAAAACTCATTGAAGTGATGAAGCAAAGTAAAAATGGTAAAAATTTGGGAGTATTTTCTAAAGAAAATTACCCAGGTGCTTTTATGGATGCATGGAGAGCTACTTTAAAGAACGAATCTTTTGATACTGTAAGTAAGCACAAATCACAAAAAGATTTGTCTACTCGAGTACATGTACTTGTACATGTACAAGTTGAAAAAGTATTTCTTAATATTTGTATAATTCATATAGATTGACATAAGTGCTGCAGCTGCTTATGTTATGTGTCCAAAAGAAGATAGTGAGATAATTACTATAAAGAAAGCCTGTCTGATATCAGTGGATGTCTTCACCAAGTATCTTAAAGATCAGATAATGGAAATCATAGATTCTGACAAGGTATATTTTTTTAATTCTATATGAAATTTTAGCTAAGTGTGGAAAGAAAAATAAAATATAAAAACATTACGATTGTATCTTTTTTTCAGAAAGTTAAACATTCAAAGCTAGCAGAAAGTGTAGACACAGCTATCACAAATAAAAAGTATGTAACTGGAGTAGATATTACTCAGGTAGATATGTGTTACCCTGCAATTATACAAAGCGGTGGAAATTATTCACTTAAATTTAGCGCTGTTAGCGATAAAAATACTACTCTCCATTTTGGTGTTATTGTTTGCTCATTGGGGGCACGTTACAAAAATTATTGTTCAAACATAGTAAGAACTCTGTTAGTCAATCCCACAAATACAATTGAGGTATGTAGAAAAAAATAATACGTATTCGTATCACTGAAATCAGATTTCAATTTAATTTATAATACATTTTGTTATAGGATAATTATAATTTTTTGTTACAACTGGAAGAAGAGATCTTAAAAAAGTTAGTTGCAGGAACAAAAATAAGTGAAGTATATGAGGCTGGTATCAAATTTGTAAAAGATGAGAAACCAGAAATGTTAAATCATTTAACCAAGAATTTTGGATTTGCTATGGGTATTGAATTCAAAGAAAGTTCTTTGCTATTGGGTCCGAAAATTCATGCAATAGCTAAGAAGGGCATGGTATTTAATGTTAACGTTGGTCTCTCAAATCTTACTAATCCAGACGCAACTGACAAAGAAGGTAAAACGTACGCCCTTTTCATAGGCGATACGGTTATAGTGAATGAAGGACAACCCGCTTCTAATTTAACACCATCGAAGAAGAAAGTGAAAAACATAGGTATATATGTGAAAGATGATGAAGATGAAGAAGAAGAGGGAAGTGGAAAAGAAAATGAGCCAAAGCCAGAGATTCTAGGACGTGGAAAAAGAACTGCTGTAATAGAATCTAAATTGAGAACGGAGCATAGTTCAGAAGAGAAGAGAAAGCAACATCAAAAAGAATTAGCTCAACAGTTGAATGAAATTGCTAAAGCTCGATTGGCCCAGCAGTCTGGTGGTAAGGAACAAGAAAAGATACGTAAATCAACAGTATCTTATAAAAGCTTGAGTCATATGCCACGCGAGCCGGAAGTCAAAGAATTGAAGTTATATGTGGATAAGAAGTATGAAACTGTGATTTTACCTATTGCTGGTATTCCAGTACCTTTCCACATATCAACAATTAAGAACATTTCACAGTCAGTAGAAGGAGATTATACGTATCTTAGAATAAACTTCTTTCACCCTGGTGCAACTATGGGACGAAATGAAGGTGGATCTTACCCTCAGCCTGATGCAACGTTTGTTAAGGAAGTAACATATCGAAGCACAAATACCAAAGAGCCCGGTGAGATCTCTGCACCATCGTCAAATTTGAATACAGCCTTTAGATTAATTAAAGAAGTGCAAAAGAAGTTCAAAAATAGAGAAGCAGAAGAGAGAGAAAAAGAAGATCTTGTAAAACAAGATACTTTAATATTATCACAAAATAAAGGCAATCCAAAATTGAAAGATTTATATATTCGACCAAATATTGTTACAAAAAGAATGACTGGTGGTTTAGAAGCGCACACAAATGGATTTCGCTATACTTCCGTACGCGGTGATAAAGTAGACATTCTTTATAATAACATTAAAAACGCTTTCTTCCAACCGTGCGATGGTGAAATGATTATACTGCTGCATTTCCATTTAAAAGTATGTATCATATTTTATTTTAAACAAATATTTTTTTAATATGTAAAAATAATATTAATTTTTAATGAATGAATGTTGTTACTTATGTACATCAATATGTATATATTTATAAATATTTGTATTTTTTTTAGCATGCTATTATGTTTGGTAAAAAGAAACATGTAGACGTGCAGTTTTATACTGAAGTTGGAGAAATTACTACAGATTTAGGTAAACATCAGCATATGCATGATCGTGATGATCTTGCAGCTGAACAATCGGAACGAGAACTTAGACATAAATTAAAAACTGCTTTTAAAAGCTTCTGCGAAAAAGTGTGTATAAATTTGATTTTATTAAATTATGCTTATTGATTTTACATTTATTTCTATTGTGTAATAATATGTGTCTCTGTCATATAAAGGTTGAAGGAATGACAAAACAAGAGATAGAATTTGATACACCATTTCGGGACTTGGGATTTCCTGGTGCACCATACAGGAGTACTGTCTTACTTCAACCAACTAGTGGATGTTTGGTTAATTTCACAGAATGGGTAATACACTGCGATGAAACAAAATTAATATTTTAAGGCAAAAAGAATATTACATTAATAATATATTGGATTTAGCCTCCATTTGTTATTACCTTGGAAGATGTTGAATTGGTTCACTTTGAAAGAGTACAATTTCATCTAAAGAACTTCGACATGATTTTTGTTTTCAAAGATTATCATCGAAAGGTAGCGATGGTAAATGCTGTTCCTATGAATATGTTGGATCATGTCAAGGAATGGTTAAAGTAAGTGACATTATTATTTAATGTAACATTGACAGTCTTATCAACTTTATTGTTTTTTATAGTACAATAAAATTTATATAATTATTAATTTTATAATTTCTTGTTTAGTTCGTGCGATATTCGATATTCAGAGGGTGTCCAGTCTTTGAATTGGACGAAAATCATGAAAACTATAACAGATGATCCTGAAGGATTCTTTGATAGCGGAGGATGGACATTCTTGGATCCAGAAAGTGATGTTGAAAATGAAGAAGTCGAAGATGAAGAAGAAGAAGAAGATGATGCATATGAGGTTCGAGATTCGAGATTTAGACAAACAAGAAACTTTTCTAAGTATGTAAAAGTGATACATATATTTTATTTAATTTATTTACAGCCATCCGATATGGAGAGTGAGGAAGAATCTGATGATGATTCTGAATATTCTGAAGCTTCTGAAGATACTGATAGTGAAGGTACTTTATCCAAAATTATTGTATTATATTTTTAAATCTTTGCTTTTTGTATTCTCTCTCTCTCTCTCTCTCTCTCTCTCTCTCTCTCTCTCTCTCTCTTTCTCTCTCTAATTTATTTAATTTTTCCCATTAAAATGTTTTTTTATCTTTTTCAGAAGAAGAATTAGGCAGCTCTGAAGAATCAGGAAAAGATTGGTCAGATTTGGAAAGAGAAGCAGCCGAAGAGGACAAAGAAAGAGGCGAAGATCGTTATCGTGATGATTATAGTTCTAGTAAAAAGAAGAAAGCAAACCGAAGACAATCCCCGTCACCTTCAAAAGATAGGTATTGTATACATAGATATATTGGATATATTTCAATGTTCTTGTTAAATATTAACTTTAGATATTCTTTGTTTCATATTAGACATAAGCACAAGAGTTCCACGAATTCAAAGAGTAAAAGTTCACCCAGTAAGGATAAACGATCATCGGACAAACATAGGTAAATATGATCCTTTATAGTTTACAAATAGTAGATATTCTTATGTAAAGAAAATTCCTTTTCTTGATAATTAAAGAACGGATCGATCACGGAGTGGGGGCTCACACAAGAAAGGGTCTCCTTCCAAATCATCCAAACACAGGTGATTACCGACAAGTTTTATATTTTTGATGATGTTATAATTGAAATTTGTTTGTTTAGTCCCAAAAAGAGTGATAAACACGATAAGCATGATAAAAGTAAGTCATCGCATTCTTCGTCCAGCAGTAGGAAACGTCCTCATGATAAGAGCTCAGAAAGAAGCGACAAAGGGTCTAAAAGATCTAAGTAAGTAATATTTAATATAAATGGTGATAAGTGTTCATAACTCACTTGATTTTAAATACATAGTTATATGTTTAATTATTAAATTTTTACAGGAAGTAAATACGGAGGGAAGATTTGCACATAGAAAATTACAGCAAATAATATGGTGATTCCAAATAAAACTTTCTTAAGCTATAACGATGTATGAATAGTACATTTTCTTGCATTAAACAGAATAGAAACGAATTAGCATTAACGAATTGCATTATATTTTTAATGATTATTTTGAGCTGTTGGAATATTTTATTTTTGTACACATTTTTGTTGTAGTACATAAAATTTTCACTTCACACTACAGCAATACAGCTGCACAACTTACAGAAAATTTATATCAATATTCTCTGTAATCATATATCTATTTGCGGTTTCAAATGTGTATAATAATTAAGATTTTTTTGTGAAGTCAAAATATGTAAGTCAAAATATGCGTATTTATATTTCAATTTTATTATATTTCTTCAACAAAATATCAAGGAGAATATACAACTTTTCTTTTTTGTAATTCTTGCGTTTTTAACATTAAGTAGTTTTTAAGATTAAATATATCTCATTCCACAATTTAGATTTTTTTATTTGATAATATAAGAATTGCAATTTATATATATATATATA